ATCTTTTTTTTTAAATAACCACTTATGAAGACCCATGAGAAATCGTGTGTTATATTTTCAAGTATTTTGGATAAGTAAAAATTATTTTATCGACATAAATTTTTTTTTTTTAAACTGATAAAAAACGAAAATTTCATGTCTCTATAAATAGCTCAACAAGAATCAAAAAATTTTAAAAGTTATTAGGTATATAGAAAACGCCTTTATAAATATTCAGTGAAAATTGCATGCATCTACTTATTCTACAGTAATTTATTTAAGAGTTAGACCAAAAACGTAAATCAATTTTGTCGTAAACCAATTTTATGAAAAAATTCCCGTTTTTACTCAATTTTTATTTTTTTGTTTTTCCCGTCACTTTTGACACTTTTTACACTACTGGGTATTTTAAATGTTGACCTCCCGAATGCACAAATAAAATAGAAAGCATTATTTCGACTAACTACCGAGTAAATAAATACAAAAATTTAAAACTTAAAAAAAAACACGTCATTGTAAAATCAATATTTTCATTGCTCTGCTCAGAATTCAAAATTTAAAAAGCAGGTAAGTGGATGTCGCTCTGCGACTGCTGTACAGTAGGTTACATTGGTTACAAGTGGCCACTGTGATAGATGGTGTTAAAATATTTGGATTGAATGATATAAAATAATTGTGCACTAAAAACGATTCTGAGCGAAGACAGCCTGACAGTCTATAATATTTCTCAGTATTTTACTATATATTAGATGATATTATTGTGATTAAAGTAATTTATTTTACTAGTAAGCATTAGTACTGCAGTAGATTAAATTCATTTTTGTCAACAAAAAAAACCCTTAAAAAGTCACATAAAAGTTTCAAGTACCCAGGAATAATATTTTTAATTTACAATAAAATAACATTATACATTATTCTTGGTTATTAAATATATGTAATTTCGCCCACATTCCAACATAAAAAAACTAAAAAAATGTCCGTCAACAGCACAAAACGGGTAAAAAAACTTTACCAAGTATATTAATTTATAATATAAACATAATATGCTGTAAATTTCAAGTATCTGAAATAATTTGTTTTCGAATATTATAACAAAACGAGGAAATCGCTGTATGAGAAATGGAGTGAATATCCAATTTCGACTTCGAGGTAGAATTTTTTTTTTTGATAAAGGTAGAAAAATGTATAGGAAACCTTGTACTTGTTACATTTTCAATTTTTTTGAAGGGGCGAAAATTTTTTTATCGACATAAGTTTAAAAAAAAAACAAATAGTAATCGAAAATTTCATATGCCTATAGATAGTCTAACACCGAGTCAAAATATTTTTTTTTTAATTTGCAACTTTTATGGTGTTAGAGAACACGGATATAAACATTCAATGAAAATTTCATATATCTACGATAATTTTTTTTAGAGTTACATCAAAAACCAAAATCAATTTTGTTGAAAGCCTGGTGTCCTCAAATATAGTCGTTTTCCTTAATTTTTCGTTTGTTTTTCTTGCCGCTTTTGAAAAATATTGGGAATTTTTTACTTCTGATCACCCAAAGTACCAACTGCATTTACTTTGCTACTAGAAAAAATGCTGTTAAAGAAAATCTAAGCAATTTTAGTGTCCCAAAACGTTATTACAGACACAAAAATGAATAATGAGAAAAAAATACACACATCATTGTAAAATCAATGCATTCATCGCTCTGCTCAGATTCTAAAATGTGGGAAATTCGATCTCAAGTAGACTTGACGACAAATTTAAATCTGTTTTCAGAATTCTCATCACTTCACTGTAAAAATCTGTACGTTTGGCGAAGAACACGTTTAAGTCCTATGTCACTTGTGTATTAGACAGAGACAGAAAATCATCTTGCGGAATCCCCTTAGGCTTAAATACATAATCAATATTTGTATCCTTTTCACATTCGTTATCCGCGTGGATAAACATCAAAAGGACTATGGCTGTAATGAGTACTAGGTATGTTGTTAATATTATATTTATATTAAAATATGAATATGATATTGGTAAATGTAAACTTTCAAAAATAAACAAAATCAAATACGTGTTGATATTGCATACAAATCATACAATCTCGACCAGCAAGATAAAATATGTTTGTTACATTATTATGATATAAAACCATACTATCTATGACATAAGTATCATTTGCAAAGCTAATTTTAATTAAATATCGGAATGTTGGTAATTGAATCCAGATGATATTGTGGTAAATGTTAATTATATTCGTTGGTCCAATGACTTGGTCATTGAATAGGTTCACTCTGCATGAGGTTATAACTAATAATATGTGTATTATGTTTAATACTAATTATGCCGGGAGAGGTTCAATAATATTTAACACTAGAGTTAAACTCTGGTTTTTATCTCGTCAATATCATATTATTTACCATTAACAATATAATATACACTGTCATTGAATTGATTGTTTGCTGCAAACAAATCTCAGGTAATATTGTACTATATTCTTCAATAATAATATATTGCAATCATAATTTCAACGCTATATCGTTGTATACGTGTTTGGGTGTTTGAATGCATTGTCTGTACTTTTCCATTTTTTATTCGTCACAAGAAGTCAGAACTAACTATAAGTAGTACGCGTATATCGTTAAAAAAAACTTTCCTTTGCACAACAAAATCGAATACGTATAGCTGTAAAATCGACATTTATTTATTTGACAAAGTTAACGCCGTTTGGATTTTTTCAATGGTAGGTACAACACAAATATATAAGGTATAATAATGCCATGTATAGATAATAAATATTTGGTTCATATACATACTAAAATTTAAAGAACATAATGCATACATATAACATACATGACATGTGATTCGTAGAAATAAATAATACCAAAAAATATATTTGAATACGTCTTGGCCTTTATCGCCAGTAAGACTACGTAGGGCCATGTGCATAATTACACCTGTATACAACGGAATCGCGGAAGTGTTGATATCACATCTATGTATTATCATAGGTAGCATAATAATCTAGTTTACTCGGCGCCCCATTGATAGAGGAGCGTTCACAGAAGAGTTAGCAGATGTGCAGTATAGTTGCAGTGCACCGGAGATAGAATAGATGCCCCGAAACCTGGTATCGGTGTATAGGAGCTCGGATACCAATACAGCCGTTCGACTATTGTCTCGATTCCAATTTCGATCAGTCCTCGAATGCGCAAACTATTTCCGAATTTCTAACGCATATCGTCTGGAGAATGGAGTTTAAGGATCCGATTAATTAGCCGATTACAATATAAATCGTGCTCGGTATGAGGAATTTTTGCGGGCAGTGATCGGCTATTATGATGACTACTGAATAAACGGTCGTGGACCCGACTGATCCACCGGGCGTCAGTACAGGGCCACATTCACGAACGGAACGAACCAATATAGGAATTATGCATACACATAAAACGCGAGAAAGCAGCCACTGGTGAATCGAAGTTTGACGAGTTTCGTCCAACAACACCCGCCAGAACACTGTAATTATTTACCACAATTATAATCAATGCACGGGGAACGACGACGATTAATAGAGAAGGAACAAACAAGATTCGACGAGTCCTGGACTCGGTGAACACGTTGAATGCTGAACGATGCGCCGGTACAATTTCCTTGGATTCTAATTGAGGAAACATAAATAATAGAGGCAAACATCTTTGTCTCACGCGCTAACAATGGTGTCGGCAAACCGTCGATTTAATTGTTGTTCACGATGTATGTGGTGCGTGTGGTATCTTCGGTAATTGTTCGCACTTATATGCTATCAGCTAACTTGCGAAGATAATCTTCGCGGAGAATGTCTCGATTGGTTTTTCGGTGATATTTTTTTTTTAAATTTAATTTCTGTGAACAGCATCAGAGACTTCCAGGTGTCTGTCAGACTATATCCGTACTTGTTGTACGTAATCTCACACGGACATTCATTTTATTTATAAATCAGTTCAAGCTAACGAAATGTACAGCGAAAAACCTTATATAAATATCATAATATAGGTAGGTTCACAATAATGTGATGTCGCATTGAAATATTTATGAAAACTAAATCTAATACTTCAGATTTATACTTCGTCGCATATATAATACTCCGTGTTCAAATCATCACATTTTAAGCTGTTTTTTTTTTTTTTATTAATCTCTAAATATTCTGAAAAGGTAAATTTAAGTTCCAATGAATCAGAGAAATTACCATAAAATTGATTTCATTATTCATATATTATTGTAAAACAAGTTATACTATAAAACAGTATGTTGTTTCTACTCACTCATAAATTCTGATTAATGTGTTCTTATATTATATTTTAATAAATTACAATGTCAGTATGTCATGTAGTACTGTTGTACCTACGTGACCTGACTTTATTTCTTATAGTTTTTAATTTTAAATATTTATATAATCGCACATAATTATTGATAGACCGGAGATTAAATTATTTTTAAAAAGCAAATGTAAGCCGATGATATTACGTATAATATAGTTAAAAAAAAAAAGCAATTAACATATTAGCATATAGTAGCAGATATTGTACTAGGTACACGCTTCGACGATGAATGAAAATATTATGTTTTTGCCCGAGTCTCGATGAAAAAAAAAAACCAAATCCAAACGAGTCGTCCGATCTTCCCTCGCAGTCTGGCGGCAGGACTATATAAGACGGGCGGTACATCGGTGGACACGACTGTATCGCACGGAGACGACGATCTCGTCGACATTATACCAATACTAAAAAACCGCTTATAAACACATCATCGTTTTTCACACCGCAAACGTATTCGCTTCCCCTAACCTCGTGTCTGCGACCGCGGGTCAAGGTCGATCCGGAATCCAAAACAGATTATTATTATTATTATTATTATTGCCGGACCGCATCTCGCTCGGCGTCAACAGCTCCGACGGCCGAGCGTTGTATAACAACAATAATAATAATAATAATAATAATAATAATAATAATAACACGACGAGATGAGACGCCGACCGCAGTCTCCTCCTACCCGTCCGATTCGCGCACACGTGGTCTTCGGCTACTATGGTCACCGGCTGAGTCGAGCTTGAGCGCCTCTCGCGTCTCTCGCGTACAGTATGACCCGCACGCGAGAGTCGCACGGACCGTCGTTCGGTTGTCGTAAGTCTTGTTTCCGACGTGTTCGCTCGCCGCCGTCGTCGCTCTGCAGCTCCAACGAGTGCTCTCCGGTCGTGAGTATCTGTTTCTATATAATATTGTTACATACGTAGTACATCGCAAGCCATATTATTATACAGTGGACGCCGCTTATAAGACTCGCGGATATAATAGGGTCAGTCGCTTATTAGACTCAAAATTGTCTGAAACGGTTGTCCGGACGTATCCAAATACGTTAAAAAGAAATTCGGTTATAAGACTCAACAATTCGTCTATAAGACTCAAATTTTGTAAAAAATATGGTAAAAAATAAACATTTTTGGTCAAAATTTAGAAATAAATTAATGTTTTTTGCTTTATTATGTGTGTATGTACAACAAATTGTATCGTCTTTCACATTTTTCAAATATATTTCCAGAATATTAGTTTATAACTAAAAAAAAAACAAAATAACAATTTTTTTCATAAATAATAAATATAGGTACATTATACCATACATCTTTTAGAATTTTTTATTAATGCATATAATCATTTTTTACAAGTATTGCAATTTCAATTTTTTTAATTTGTTCAATAATACGTATATCATATGTAATATGTATTAGAGTACTAAAATTAAAGAAAAATATGTAGTAAAATAAAATTCATAAATATGTAATTATTTTTTTTTCCACTTCGCCTATAAGATACATTCGGTTATAAGACTCACTTTGTGCTGGTCCCAATGTGAGTATTATAAGCAGCGTCCACTGTATTATAGTGTGCACGGTCACCGCGCGGGGTTGTCGACTGACGATGTAATATATTTTTTTGTTTTTCGAAACATTCCAATATTATTATTATATGTTGTTCGTACGATTGTAGGCACACGTTTTCGTCGTACGCGGCTCCCGACCCGACGCCTATAATACGTTAGCAGTGTTGGCCGAAGTCGAGAACTTTTTTTTCGTTGGTTAAATTACATCGCCTGCGAATTATAGATCACAAAATCGTAATTAAGTTATTTTCGAATTACTTTTTTTTTTCATCCGATAAATTCTGGTTGTTTTACGATTTTACGATTTTTAATTTAGTTTAAATAACAAAGCATTTCCCAAATGACTATCTATGGAAAAATAGTGAAACTTTTTTTTGTCAAATGGCTATTGCAAAATTATAGTATGTACAGTGAATCGTAATTAGCTATATATAATTATATAGATACATGAATAAACCATCACTTTGTTCTTAAAATATATAAAAAAAAAATTTTAGTTATGAGTAATTTAGTAACTTTACTGGGTACAAAAAAGGAACTTAAACTACGTATACATTACTTAGAAATTTCGCTACAGTAACTTGTAACTTAAGATTCAAGTTAAGTTATTTCCGAACGTTGGCTATAATAATTCATTAATAAATAAAATGTATCTTCATTCCGTTATCAGTGTGCAATAATACTATACGCATATATCTACTACAGTGTCAGAGTGTACTTATACAGTAGTTATACGCATATATATTATTTATTAATTTAATTAAAAATGCTTGAAAATTAAAATCAATTTATCATCGTTATTACTTGCGACTAATATAATTTCACCGTTTTACATTTATACCAATATTACCTACTGTGAAACAATTAATGTAAACTAGAGTATTGCTACGAATGCCGTCGAACGGATAATAAAGATGTTTAGTACTGAATTGAAAGTACGCAGTAATCATCATAATATTATCGAGTTGCAAGTAAAACGTTGAAAACTCTGAAATATTAATTATAATGTTGTTTTATTAGTTACATTAGGAAGACATTTTGTACGTTGTGGTACAACTAAAAGTTTTAATTTAAATCAAATCAAATGTTGTCTTTGCATTAGAGAAGTTGGAAAAATTATGTTCGCTAAAATATCGGCAAGACAATCATAAGGTCCATTTTAATGAAAAAATCTTCCACGTAGAATAATATTTCTTCGTTCATAATTGAATTGCATATCTATGCCACTTTAATGTTAATAACTATTATTTTTGGTTTTTGCTTCAAATTATATTTACGTTTTGACAAATCTGACTTTCATAATATAATTTTTTAAGACTATTTTATTTTTTAAGTTATTTACATTTGTGAAATATTTGTTGAATTCAATTCTTAATCAGATGTCTGTTTTGAAATCTTCAAAATATATTTCTTTGAAACTTCTTTATCTGTTTTATTTTTTGATTATACTACGAATCACACTGTTCATATTTTCATCATTTTTAGAGTTCTTATTATTTTTATTACTTATATTTTATAATATAATATATATAGTGTTAAATAACGGTTAAATTTGTTTTGAGAATGAATTCAAGTTTTTCCCAAATGATTGAACATCAATTTTCAATAATAAGATAAATGTTATGTATTGTATACATTTTAATTCACTTAAAATAAATATAAAACACTACGAAATAATAAAATCCATTTTAAATATTAATTTACTAGAGTGCTTATGCCACTAGCTAAAAATATCTAGAACTCATTCTCTTGATATAATATGTTAATTTGAATATATTTTAACTAATCGACACAAAATATGCAATGTTATGCACTTCCGTTTAATGGTAATGACATACAATTAAATAATTACCTAATCGTATCTACGTATACGATATAAGCTCGAATATCGTGTAGGTATATTTTTAAATCTACTAATACATATTCGTGATTAAGTATATTATAATTTGTTAGAAATAGTGATTTTAAAAATTATGTTACTTATAATATTACTATAGTAATGCCATAGTAATTAGGGACCTGCCTTTTTTATTTTATGATAATTTATATTTCAGACTGGGCTATGAATATATTATTAATTTCTAAAATGATATGAGTGTATGGTTTTTGGTTTTAAATTTGGTGACTCCTGGTAGTAAATTGGATCCAGTTTGTTGTTTTGAGGGTCAAAGGTGAACAATTCCAGTAAAACTCGAAAAATTACCTAGAAACAATAAAAAAAGCAGTTAAGCCGATGTCACTGTGGTGTACAGTAGCTTACAAATGGGTCACTGTAATGGATGGTATTAAATTTGAATTCAATGATATAAAATCTGTGTAGGTATGAAAAACTATTCTGAGCGAAGATGGTCGGTCAGTTTATAATATTACTTAGTAATTCAGTATATTTAATAATAATATTATTGTGATTAAAGTAATTTATTTAACTAGTACGCATTAGCACAACGCAGTAGATTCAATTCATTTTTACCAAAAAATATACATTTGAACAGTCATTGCTTGTATAAATTATAATGATATACTTTAAAAAGTTCAAGTACCCAGGAATAATATTTTTAATTTACAACAAAATAACAAGAATCATTATTTTCGTTATTTAATATGCAATTTCGTCCACATTTAAATATAAAAAAACTAAAAAAAAAAGCTGTGCTTTTAATATATTTTATGATTCTTTGGTTATAGAATACCTTAACTTACTTGTGTGGAACCTTGTTTGAAATTTTACCCTTACCTATAAAAGTTGAAAAGCTTTTTGACCCAACAAAAACATCTTATTGGCAATTATAAAAAAAAAAACTAAAAAATTTAGAATGTCATAAATATAACAGCCCGTAAACAGCTCAAAACCAGTCAAAATATTTTGATAATATCATGATGTATAGAAAACACAAATATAAATATTCAGTGAAAATTTCATGAATCCACGATATTTTTTTTTAGAGTTACATCAAAAACCTCGTTTCCGTAAAAATTCTATTTGTTTTTCCTTAAATGTTTGTTTGTTTTTTTCTGCTGTTTTTGAAAACTATTGGGAATTTTTTACTTTTGACCCTTGAACGTATCAACTAGATTGATTTTCCTACAAGATGGCGTTGAAGAAAATCGAAGCTCTTTTTCTATAACAAAACATGATGACGGACACAATAATAAATGAAAAAAAACACAAATAATTGTAAAATGAATGCATTCATCGTTCCGCTTTCAATTCAAAAACAAGGAATAATAACAAAACAAAGTTATCCTCAGAATAAATTTTTATTTTTTGTAGTTATTCAAGAATGAATATCCATAAGCTTGAAATGTACACCCAAAAATATACTAGTAGGAAATTGAACAGTGGATGAAGACGTGGGTGACAGTCTGTGAGTGTAGGCTTTCCCGATTGACTGAAAAACGGACAGTTCAATTTGATGCCAAAGGTTTCTTTTGATATTTTACATCACTGTTTTTTATAAATTCTGAACGCTCCGATGAATGTCAAAACATTTTATAATGATGTTTTTGTTTTTTGTTTTTTTTCCATCTGACACCACCTTTTGGAGCAGATAAATTGCTTTAATCATTAACTTTGAGAGTAGTTCCTGGTAGCAAATCGGAACTAGTTAGCACCTTGGAGATTTAAAAGCAAATATGTGTAGAAAATAATTCCTTTTAAAACGCACGATTTCAAAATATTAAAATACACAGGAACAATTTTTCGTAGTGTGTGTGAAATGTTTTAAAGTTTAAATGTTGTTAACAAATTTGAAAATTACGAAAATATGCTAATTATTTTGTAGTTAAAAATGTATAAAATTTTTAATTTTACTACCTAAGTTTGAAAATGTCATACAAGGTTCACTATAAGATATTCTTACAGAAATCTAAAAATATCAAAAATGCAAATGAATAATAATTTGAAAAACGTTTGTTATTTTGTTATAATTTAAAAAAAGTACTCTTTGTTTAGGAATTGAAACTTTTCGTTAAGTACGATGTTACTGCCTATTTATTATTCAAAATTACATTTTCAAAATATTTTTACACATTTTATTGGTTCTATCAATTAAATTATAAATAAAAAGAAATTAAAATTAAAACTATTTATACCATACTCATCTACGGTTCGTCGGTATTGTTTTAGAAGTAAAGAAACGGCCATATTAATATTAAAATAATAATTAAAATTCAAACTACCTATTGACGATGTACATTAAATGTATTATATTATATTTATGTACATCTTCACGTGACATCCACTATACATCAAAGCAATGAGTTTCCCTAATTTTATATTTTTTATATGAGTGGAAGTCAAATAAAATCAAATAGCGT